TGGCGAATCGATGACGGCTAATATTGGAGGACCGGATATTGAAAGTGTGTGTGATGGCTGAATCTTTCGGGATCTCAACTTAGTGGGTGTATCAAACCTTATGTCAATATTTGGATCAGCACGATACCATTCACATCGATTACATTGAAATTGGTAAAACGATCAGTGGCGAATATTTTGAAGACAATGCCCCGTGCCATAAAAAAAATACATCAACTGGGCAACGATCTCCTAACTCTTCCACCAGATTTAGCCCCCAGCGACTATTTCCTGTTTCCAAACCCAAAGAAATTGATGGGCGCTAAGATATTTTGACCGAATTAAGAGTTAATGGCTGAAGCAAACGCTTATTTTGAGCACCTTGAAAAACATCGTGGTTGGTGGGGATTAAAAAATCGAAAAAACGCTTAACTAAATGTATTAAGCTAAAAGATGGCTATGTGCAGATGTAAACGATTTTTTGCTGAAAGATAAATGTTTTATTCAAAAATGTAAGTAGGGATAAAATGAATGTGCTTAGGGCCGGGAAACAGCGTACCGCTTGGAAAGTGAGAGCATTGAACTTACTCGAATGGCACCCGGTTTTCTTTAAAATGTTTGTATTTCTCCAAAGGAAAACCTAGAAAACATTTGCATTCATACCAGTTAATAAATAAAAATAGTCGTTTTTCACAAAGTTATTTCGTGCTATGTTTACTGGCTGGTTTGGCTTGGCAGGCAAATTTATGGCAAATATCTATACTATATATTCGGGAATAAAGACGAGCTGAGTCTTTTATAAATATTTCCCTTTAATAAAAAATATTTCAATTCTTTGAGTAATGAATAAGATGGTGCAAATTTTATGGCAATAATATTGAAAATTTTATGTCATGTCATAAATATATAGTCTAAAGACAAATAAGCGCGGGCTGCTGAGATAAGACAGTTTTAGACACTTATGTGTATGTAAGTAAATTTACCAAATTTTATTTCTGAAGGTCATCCGTTAAGGTCTACTGCAAATTAAAGTGTCATCAACATAACAGACATTACATCGAGCTGGAAAATACTAATATACACCATATGCCAGATAAAATACAAGAAAGAGATATTTACATGAAACAAAAAGTATCGATTTATAAAAAATAATCACAAAACATTTACATATATTCGAAAATATATAAAGACTTGCTGCGAAATCTATAATTTTCTGTAAGCTGGATATAAGAAGCAACTTTTTTCCCAAAAGTTGTTATTTCGATGAAATATACTTTTTTATACCCGAGCGCACTTGTGCACAAGGGTATATTAATTTTGTTCACATAACGGTGGTTTGTAACAGCCAAAACGAATCGAGATAGATATAGACAAATGTATACATAAATGATCAGGATGAAAAAAGAAATCGATTAAGCGGTGACTGTCTGTCCGTCTGTCCGTCCGTCCGTGTACACGATAACTCGAGCAAAAATTGAGATATCTCAACGAAATTTGGTTTCCCTTAATCCAAGGTAGGTTTGTATTGAAAATGGGCGAAATCGGACTTTAACCACGCCCACTTCCCATATAACGGTAATTTCCAGAAATACGAAAACTGCGATATTTTAGTAACTACTGAAGATTATTCACTCAAAATTGATATTTACAATAATTTTTAGACGAAAAATAAGAATATTGTAAATTTTTGGAAAATGGGCGTAGCCACGCCCACTTATGGTTACATGTGTATATCTTAGGAACCGCTTCACCAATTTCTTCCAAACTTGGCACAGTTGTTGGCCTGGGTACAGCATAAAAAATCGCCGAAACTTTTTAAAATCGGACAATAACCACGCCCACATCCCACATAAGGGTAATTTAGAGAAATACAAAATCTTCGATAAATCAGTAAATATTGAAGCTAATTTATTCAAAATTGATGCTTGCAACAATTCTTTACCAAGAAATACGATTATGGTAAAACTTTGGAAAATGGGCGTGGCACCGCCCACTTATGATCACATATAAGTATATCGGTAACCGTTCTACCAATTTGTACCAAACTCGGTGTGGTTATTGTGCTTGCCACATAGAAGCAAAACTTTGAAAATTATTGAAATCGGACTAAAATTACGGCCGCTTTTCATATAACGGTAAATTTCAGAAATGCTTGAAACTGCAATATTTCGAAATTGAAGGACGCTAATTTACTCAAAATTGATACACCCCGGCTTACCATCTAGCGGTAGGATTCAGAAAGGTGAAAAAACTTATATTTAATACTTGCGCCGGGTATTTAATGTTCGGCTCCGCCCGAACTTAGACTTTCTTACTTGTTTGTGTTACATTTCAAATCGCAGCTGCGGGCGAAAACCAATTCACCCATGAGCACAAGTAGATGAGATGTGTGGAGTGCAAATTAAAAAAAAAATCTCGTGTCTTGCACATCTTGTCATTACGAATCCAGAGTAGACAGACTTAAAGAAAATTTCTTTGACGAGATTAAGTAAGAATTACCTACATACATGCATATGTATCAATAATATACAAATCGACTCGTTGTGTGTGTATGTATATTAGGGTGGGTCGATTTGTATGGTTTTGTATTTTGACTACGCGTGTAAAGCGCAGAAGGGTTCTACGAGTAATTCTAAACGAATTTGTCGAAGAAAAATTGGTCTAAAATATATTTGGAGTTTGCCAAATTGCGAAAATAATTTTCTGAGCTTTTTGCTGTAGTGTCGCAAAGTGCTTAAATTTTGTATAAAAACATGCTTTAAGTAAGGAGTTTTATGGTATGTGAAATCCATTTTTGCAATTATCTTTTTCTTAAAACTTCCACCGTGCCCTCTGGTGAGAGTTTTCACATTTTTTCGAAACCTTTTTTCGCAATTTGGCAAACTCCAACTGATTTTAGACGAATGGTTTCTTCAGCAAATTTCCTTAGAATTAACAGTAGAATCCTCCTATGCTATACGCGCAGGTGAAAAATAAATTGACCTGCCCTAATGTATGTACATTAGACTGCATCACCAAAAAAGTTGAGGTTGATTACAAAACCTATTATATTTTAAGGCGTCCACCAAAATATTTCGGAAAAATATTAAGATTTACGTGAGCTGGATCGATTTACCCTCAAAATATAGAGGTTTTTATGAATAAAAATAGTTTCTTAAATAAATTGTTAACAAAAGTGCCTCAGATGACAAAACAGATTAAGCTTAAAAACTCTGCATAAAAATCTTTTTAACTGAATCGTAATAATGACTTTACTTACTTTTTTTTAAAGATTGGTTTACGAAAAACTTGAATAACTGGGCCAAAATAATTCTGATGTAGACTTACGGGGTCTCAGTAGAAATATATTTTCCTACTGGTTTTACTTTGAATGCGTTTATTAGCAAAGATAAAAAGGCTGAAAAAATACCTTTCCAATGATATCTCACAAGTCTAAATCGGAAGAGCTTAGGTTCAGTTATTCAAGTTTTTCTTAAACCAATCTTTGAAAAAAGTTAAAAAAAACAGCATCAAAAACCTCATTATTACGAGTCGGTTCAAAATTTTTTTTAAATGTTTAAAAAATATTTTAATGCAAATTTTTCAAGCTTAAACCGTTTTGTCATTTTGGGGGATTTTTACAAAAAAAAATATTTAAGAAACTATTTTTATTCATAAAAAACTCCATTTTCGGAGGTATTTTCAATTCGTTCCAGCTCACGTATATCTTAATATTTTTCCTAAATATTTTGGTGGTCTTCTTAAAATATAATAGATTTTATAATTCTAATGGAAACACAGTACCGATTTATTTATTTTTTTTTTGTATGGAGATTGATGCAGTCTAATGTGCATACATGTATGTGTTTACCAATGTTTGCACTATCTGTCTCTTTTGCTGTATTTATTTGTGCCTTAAGTAGAGCAAATCGTTTTCGTGTACCTACATCAATGTCAATTTCAATCTGTTATGATACTTTCGCATATTTCGCTCGCAATCTTAGGAAACTTTATGGATTAAATTTTAAATAACCATGCTTTAATGATTTAATATCGCAAGTATTGAAAGGGTCATCTGAGGGTTTATTTAAGGTTAATTTTAACTTTTTTTACGTACAAAATGAGGCAATTTCGATTTTTAAGACAAGTGATTGAAAGGGAGAGAATACTTCGTACGGTTGATTTTTTTAGCTGATATGTTTCAGTAAAAAGTAAAATTTCCCTTACTAAATTCAAGTAAAAAATAACAAAAATGCATTTAATGTTTAAACAATTCAAATAAATGGGATGAACTTAATTACAAATTAATATAATTTTGAATGAATTTATGTGAATACAAAAAAAAAGAGAAAAAAAGTAAATAATTAACTCACCCGGTCCAACCGCCTCATGAAAGCTGCCATTATGCAGGAAATCGGTGCGTGTGCCGCGTCGGATGCCACCTAAAATGGAAAAAGTCATTTGATGCAATAAAGAAGATGTAACAGAGGAGGGTAATCGTATAAATCTTAAGTGTTTCAAGTGAACACGCGCAGTAAAATTGAGCCAAAGTGAAATCGTAAAATGTGCATTTTTTTCTTAACTGTTTCTTTTTCTCAACCCTTCTTTTCTGCTATTACTTTGGGCAAATTGGCCAGACTGCAATGCTTGTATGTATGTATAAATAGGATTTTTGTCGCATTGCTTGTGTAATCTGAATAAACATTTAATTTTTTTTTTTTGCAGAAAAAGTATTTTTTAACTTACGGGTTTTCCAGTTTCGACACGTTTCCTCCTTATACGCTTCCTTCGTCTGCTGCTCGCTTTCTTTATTCATTAAAATTGTGGTTTGCCTTTGTGACAGTTTGCGCTTCAAATGTATAGTTCTGCTAATTATATGAAGACGTCTTCGACAAGATTGCAGTTGACTTTTTTGTTATAAGCGTTGAAGGCACTTCCAAGGGATTTGTTTAGCAGAATTTATAAAGTGTAAACAGAAAGAAAATGTTTGACCAAATTAAGTGTGTATATTAGGAAGTATTAAGTATCATTTAAGTAGATGTGGCTATCAATTATTAATAATTAAAACCACGGACTACATGGTATGAACGTTGAAGCTGCTAGTGGTGGCAAACTATCGATGGCACTATCGATACTATCGATAGTT